ATAAGAGAGAGAGTAAAATATCTATAGTTTACGTGAGTAAATCACATTTAAATAAAAATGGTTTTAAACACGATAGTTAGCAACGACAACGTTGACTTAGTCATTAGAGACTCCATCTTCTGTCCCCCCGTGACTACAGCATTTAAAAAAGGTTGACTAATACATTTCACGTTTTATACGGTTAAAAGGTTTATACGTGTATAATGCACTTTACTCGTCAATAAACAACTATATTATTTGTAACATGATTTATTTCGTTTATTTTGTTTACAACAAAGTCAATTAGAGGGATTCTAAAAACACTACAACCTATATTTTCAAGCATATAAATAGAATTCTTAAGAACCAAATCATTTATTTATTTCTCACTTTATTGCAATTTAAAACTATAGAGTAAACCGGGCGGCCTTAGCGATCTCTTCCAGGCAACCCGAGTAGAAAGAGACTTAACGATTAATTAAAAACTATACAGTGTGCAAGAAGTGCGAAACTTACTAATTACTTAAACTATACAAAATAAACTCAAATTAATAATAATAAAAACCCATCAAAATAAAAAAAATAGAAAAAGGAAAAGTTAAGTTAAATTTTATTAACATGATAAGGACAGTAGATGTTTTTATAAAAGCCTTTTGAAAGAAGTCAAGGAAGGAGCTAATCGGACGGAGTCAGGTATAGAGTTCCAATCAGCAGCAGCAGCAGCGATCGAAAAGGAGTGACCAGCAAAATTCGTTTACACAATTCGTAAGCATTTGCATTTACTTTCGACCGTTGAATTTTTTTTGCTAATATTAAAGGAAGCAGACATGGCCACTACAGACAACAAAACATTGTCTCTTTTAAAATGGACTTGAAATTTTCAATCACAAAAGGATTCTATCGTGGGGATTCTGTTGGAATTCCTTTTAAATGGAAAGGAAATCCGGCACTTAGTTCTTCGATTAGCGACATATCTATTTGAGGTGCAACAGTTTCTTGGAATTATTTCATACCATTTTATATGACAGTAAAATAATAGAGTTGAAAATTAAATTAATAAATTTGTAGCGAGCATAAATCCGTTCATTCGTTGTAAACTAATTAAGCTTGATAAAGAGCTTTTATGAAAATATCATTACTATATTATCCGAAACGTATTTCGAAAGTTCATACGCCGACAACTCCGTGAACATTTTGCCAGCCGTAAAATTAATTGTAATTTTGTTAAGACTCTCGTCGGAATTTTAATTAAAAATTACGAACCGCCGTCCCGTCCGAAATAATTGAGGAAGCGTAAAATTTTTGTCGTCTTAAATGTTTGTCTTTTAATTAATATGTGCTGATAGCTAAGAACCAGCATTCAGTTTGATCAATATTTATTCTATTCTCTTTTAAATAATATGAGTTATATCAACAATAATGAACAATAGTAAATTATGGACATATGTCATTTTTACCCAAATAATTTTTATGTCGAGTCTCGAACCCGCTAACGCTTAAGGCAAGCCGTGCTCTTAAACGTGAAACCGTATTATATAAATACTGTCTGTAGTTTACGCGAGTAGTACACATTTAAATAAAACACTTCAACGGTCGAAAACGCGATATATATTAGTAAAGAACTTATTTAATTATTAATTATAATAATGTTCAAATAAGTTTAACTAAAATATCGCGTTTTAGACCGTTGAAGTGTTTTATTTAAAACCGTTTTATAAAGGTCACATTTCGACTGTCTCTATATAGCGGAAAAGTTTAAAAAAATTGTTGTGTTCAAAATTGTGTTCTTAAATAATATACTTTAATGGCGAAATATTAATTTCTTATAATTTATTATATGTGGAATACCCCCCACATACCACCTGAATTTAAACCATGTTGTAATGACTCTTCTCCTCTGTATCAGATAGTCTTCAGACACAAAAAGATGTTAACCTAATTCAATCCAGATGTAAGTAGAGCATTGTTCAGTGAGATTAATCAAGTGATTGCCGTGCTAAAACAAGAACAAAGCAAGAGAAAACAAGACAATTGAAGGAGATTTACGGAGGCGCACGTTAAATAAATGCCTGCATCAACTTAGATTCGTTAGAGCGTAAACCTTGCCCGCATCTTGAAGTAATGTCTTTCGTAGTAAAAGCCTTCATAGGGTTGTCGATATTAAGTATTTTAAAGTTATAGCCATTTCTACATTACCTCTAGAGATGTGTAAATTAGTGGCTTATATATTTTGGTTTTTTGGTAATTAAAAATGAAACATCAATAATGTAAGATATAAGAACAAGCACTACTGCTCTTAATAAACTTTTCCTCTTTGCAATAATAGATCGCGTTTCTGAAAAGATTTTTTTTACCGGGACGCGACCCAGCTTATGGCAAACCGTAAAGTATAAATATGTCTTTTAGTATTCATTTAGTTGTTCGTAGTCACCATGGGGATGGTACCTCAGTTACCTGGTTAGTCACTTAGTAATGGAATACTCAACATCTTCTGTAGATACAATCCACTCGTGATGGCAAAATGTCGTAAACGAATTCTCAACCACTACGGCCCGACAGTTTGAAAACTAAATACGACTGGAAAATAGACACGGAAGCCTCATACAATTTATCATATCGTTATAATTTCCCAGAAGAAAATGAAACTTAAAATGTTAAGTCATTATATTAATGACAGCCCTACTTGTCCGAGGCCACTAGGGAGGAGGCGACGCTCAGGTGAAGCGTCGTTGGTGAAATTTTTAAGAGCTCCGAGGTATTTTTATTAGATCTGTGCTTGGGTAAAACATAGTCGTTTGGGAATTTTTCGTTGAGTTTCATTTTAAAGTTGAATCATTAAACCTTGTTTCATTAAACGTATTTGGTAATAATAATGTAAATATTCAAGCCTAAATAGGTCGATACCATCTTATTGAGATGGTATCTGGCTGGGGTGTCTCACCTTCCATCGAGTGAATCTCATCTGTCCTCATTATTATTTAAAATAACTAGCCATTATATATATATTAATCCTCGATTTTTATAAACTTTAAGATGTAGTATGATTCCTTAAAAATATTTTTGTTTTAGAAGCGACGTCACAAAATCATAACATAATCGCGTCGGTCGCAGTAGGTCAGTGGTAAAAAGTACCGTGTATTTCGAATACGAGAAAATATGATAATTGCGGTCAGGCAAGGCACAGTCTAATCACAAACTTGTACTACTGCAACATAATATATAAATAACATCATGCCTCGCACGGGAAAATAGGTTTTACACTTTTTTTTAAATTATCAATACGATAACCAAATTTTGCAGGTCCGTATCGCTTGCAAAATACAATTTTGACATAAAAATTAATTCTGTTTCGCCTTTATTAACTCATACGCTGTAATTGGAACCCTTTATTGTGGTAATACGGTGTACATTACACCAACGCCGCACTATCCCGATAATTTTCCCCTTTGCATTGAATGAAATTGGTCTGAGTATCGATTCGAATGAATATGCATTCGAGAGTCTACATAACGAATGCTAACGATGGAAACTCATTAGATGGATGTATTTGAAATATTCCGCAGAGAATTGAACACAACTCTGTTAAGAACTGAGAGTGGAGTAGAGTTCCTGTTGTCAAGCACAACGGATGAATAGGCATGGAAAATTAGCTACAATTGCAAATGTCTCTTAAAATGCTGAATGAATACTTGTTTCTATTATATGTATTATTTTAATAATCACAATAGATCTAGATATCTTATCTATATATATAGACGTTGTGATTATACGGCGACTTGGCTACGTCGATTTTAGACAGGCAAGTACCTATTGATCCGACCTTTGCAAAACCGCGACTATTTTTTTTGGTTCACCGGGCTTCAAACCTAGGACCTTTTACGCCTTTTAATAAAATGAGCGATCGAAGTGCTCCTAGTCATAAATAAAGGTAGTTATCACGTTGTCTTAAATTATATTTCTAGTTAATAATCCCGAGTTGAAAATAATTGACTAGCTCGATTCTTAGCCTATCAATACGTTTCTTAATTTTTCCAATATATGTTAGATATCATCAGAAAAATTTGGATATTAAATGTGTGGGAGGAATATAGACGAACCACCGCCTACAGATGGAAACGCCTTCAGTCTGTGGGTTCCCAAATCTTTAAAAACAAATTAATTTTCATGACACCACATCGTTTAGATGTATACTTAAGGAAATTTGATCACGACCCGTAAATGTAGTATTCCCACTAAAACAATCAATGAAATCCCACATAAATATTCAATAGCCATTCAGTAATAAATTTTACGACAAGTAACAGATAGACGTACCGTGCCAAAGTTGTAAAAAAGAATAGGGAAAAGTTTAGGGGTTTATAGCAAGTTAGAAAAATGTCATTATTTGGTCCCTACAAGCGTACAAGCGATGGGCGGAGACAGTTTTTATAATAAAGCAAAAATTCCGCATCATGCAACACTTTAAAATCCTCTCTATTCTAAAGGAATAAGGTCTAGAACAGATTGTGCGGATATGAACACTTTCAAGAAGAATAAATTTTCATTCCTTTCGTAGCATCACAGCAGTGTTAGAGCTTTGTCGCTGGAGCAATGAACAGTTTTAAACACTTTCATAATGGAATGCACTTTAATATTATATTAAATCAAGGGGACATTTTCAAAATCGTTTGCGCATACTGTCAATTATTTTTCTTGAGTGTTTTTATTTTCTAAAAGATCGATGGTAATTTATAACAAATAATTTTTATGCATATAACTTGATTGCATGATTTATTAAGACAGTAAAAAAAACAAACCAAAAAATAGTTATCATCTATACAAGTACTATATCATCTATCACTAAGGACAATTATTTCTCTAAAAACAACAATATTAACGATAGACAGCCGTCTTGTGTGTTATATTTCTTTTTTATTGGTTATTTTCTTCGTTCGTTAAAAGAAATAAATAAGAATCAATATCCCTGTCGTGGCTTGTTATTTCATCTCTATAAACTACTGTATGGGTTAATCTAAAAAGTCTTACCTAGAGTTCGATCTTTTCGACGAATCGTGTTTCTTCCCACCCTGAAGATTGGGCAGATCCTTCTGTCTCTTCTTCGTCTCCCTCCAAATCTTGTAATACAATATACACATAACAGTCACTGGCACATAAAACGCCGCGATGGCCGTCCCGAACGTAATAAACTGATTAGTCTCTATAAACTGGATATAACACTCATTCGGAGGCACTTTCCTCTCACCATCTATGTAGGGCCAGGCGTAAATCCACGGAGGCCACAGCAATAAGCTGAATCCCCACGCGCCCCCTATCATGACAGTAGCGCGCCGTGTAGTCCTCTTAGCTCTATACGTTAAGGGTCTCGTAACACTGAAATACCTATCGAAACTTATAATAAGGAGGTTAAGCACTGACGCGTTCGACGCGAGATAGTCCAAGGCGAGCCAGGTGTCGCAAACGTGCGGGCCGAGGGGCCAGTAGCCGTAAATGGTGAACATGGTGAAGAGAGGCATCGAGATGAGGCCGACGGCGAAGTCGGCAACCGCCAGCGAGAAGAGGAAGTAGTTGCTGATCGTCTGCAGCTGCTTGTCGATCTTGAAGCTGATCATCACCAAGGAGTTGCCGACAACAGTTAGAACGGAAAGGACGCTGGCGATGATTGCGATGACGATCTTCTGGGCGAGGCTGTAGGGGCTGGAGGGGAGGTCTGGGCCGAGCGCCAGGTCTGTGAGGTTGCCTGTGTCGTTGAGAGCGATGAGCATGTCGTCAACTCGAGCCCGCGGCCCCCGCTACGCCGCGGCTCGGATGCCCAACGGCAGCGGACACGCCTGCTGACAAAAGCGTCTTATTATTATACTGATCTAGGTGAAGTTACAAGAAAATGTAATAAGCATGAATAACTAAAAACTTTAACCGGACAGTACGATTAAGTTCAAAAATAGCAATAAAAATATTTAAAATATCATATTCAATGTAGAAATAGGCAAGTATATGGTCAGCCTTATGATTCTTTGCGATAGAAACAATTTTATTATGTATCACTTGAATGTTGAATCCAGTACGACAGACGTTTTACGTTACGCAATGCGCTTTTGTAAAAAAATATGTAGAGCTAGGTAAATACGAGGAAAATAATTCGTTAACTCCTTTACTAATTAATGTCAGAATTGTACACAACTTGCTCATAAAAAAGAGTTTCAAAAAGTGAGTTTTAAAACATAGACTAATGATTCTATTTTAGAAGAGAACAGTATTTCCTTAGCATATCTAAGTTAATTTTATAGACGCCGTTTTACGCTTATTTCTCTTCTTTCTATACAATCTTATCGTCAGTCAAACACACGATATCGCTTAAACATTATCTAAGAAGCCATCAGTATAATATCGACGATTGATCACATTATGACATAGTAAGGAGACACCTAATTCGTGTACACACATAATATCTACACGAACTTCTATATATAATACATATAATAAATCAATACAGATAGTAAGCCTGTATTTAAGGAACTTGTCAGACTATATATACTAATATATGAAGCTAAAGAATTTGTTTGTATGTTTAAACGCGCTCACCTCAGTAACTACGGGTTCGAATTGAAAAATTATTTTTGTGTTGGTATTTATCGAGCAAGGCCAACATAGCCCTGTGACTAATACAAGCGAAGAAACAGCGGAAAATGTGGAAAACACGGGAAATATTTATTCAGCTGTTAAAATAGTTTAAGATACCAAAAAATATATGAAGTGAAAGAACGATTTATCGGCGCGACCGATGTCGATAGTCGCTTAAATATATAAAGATGAAGAGCAGATTTGCAAAAAGATTTTTTTAAAGCTCAAAAAAACTACTCTACGCGGACAGTCGCTGACACAGCTAGTTTGAACTCAACATAATTTATGACAAACTTTAACACACATGACATATAGGTAAGATGTAAAAATGCAACTTTTAATAACAGTAGTTTATTAAGTGAACTAAGTGTTAATTGCAATGTTAATTGGTATTCGTCCGGCATTTATAATAAGCATGAATCATAATTTATGCGTTAATTATGAATAGTTGGGACTATGGAATGTATTGGAGATGGAATTTGGAGCCAATGCAATACCAGCCTGCGGTAACGTCTGTCGACATATTTTGACCGTATTTCCAATTGCGAAACGCAATCTAAGAGATTTCTGGAAGGTTTCAATTGTGCCATAGCTTTGTTCTTGCGATAAATTACACAAATATTGTTTTATAGACTTATATACCCTATCAAAGTCTTTGGCAACATTATAATGATATGAGAAAAATACATCACTATATTAAATTCTATATTCTATAGCAAATACATATCAAGTGAAATGTTACAAAAAGTCTCTTAAGGCCTGTCGAAGATTCAATCTTTCAATTGTACCTGTAGTTCTCCAGATTAGCGCGTTCATACAAACCAACGAACTCTTTAGAGTTATTATACATATTAACCTAGAATACCAAATGTTGTAACAAAACATTGACGCCCCCAAAAAATATTATGTAAGTATATTCGCCATTAGATCATCAAAATAATTGATATTACGTAATATTCCAGATTACAGCACAGAGAAAGACACTCCATGAATTCAAAGTCTATACAATATTTTACATAAAATGCGATCATTACACAAAACAATACTTTCAGGAAGGTCGCTCCGCGCCGTGGAGCCTTTAAAACCGCCGCTCTGTCGATCAAAGGACCTCTACTATTGAAATAGATTATGGCGCCATCTTGCTATTAATAAAGGGATGTTAGCCCTAATTGCCAGTCATTTCGTTCATGCGTTTTATTTAAAAGAGGGTTTATGATGCATATGTATAGCTTGACAGTAATATTTTCCACGATATTAAAAAATGGCCGCAGATTATACGTCGAAATCATTTTTAAATATTACCACAGACTATGTATAATTTGTGTAATATTTTGAAATTTCCACAGAGTCAATTGATCACTTTTGTTACGTACTTCTTTGTGATTATTTATTCAAGGATTGTACTCGATTGTATTGCACTTCTATTAGAGGATTTCACTTAATTACATGATCGTATATCAATTAACGTGATTATTTGCATTATCGTAGTAATAACTGAGTGGTTTGCAGGAGTGATTAATTACTGGATGTTATTAGCTATGAAAGAACAGTGGCATTGTGCCAACTTTGGGGCGATCACTTCCTACGAATGTACGGGCATTTTGAACAGTCATTGGAGGAGCAAAAAGTTAGTGCTGTACGCACAAATCATGGGTAATTAACAATGATTGCACTTAGCTAAAGAAACGGCGTAATGATTCAACGTATATTTTTTAAGAAGAAAGACGCAGTGAGGGTTTTAAGAAAACGGCGAAAGACTTAGTTGAAGCTCTGAAAAAAAAATGTTAAAAATGTACATGTTATTCTTAACAGCCGTGGGTCTCGAATCTCATGTAATACTGACATATTAAATAATTGTCGATATGCTTTGGAATCCAGCCAACGTATCACTGAATTTGACTGTTTTTGAACAACTATTATTAAGGAAGCATTCGCAATTAAACATTTTAATCAAAATCGTTGCAAAGTTTGAACAAATGTCCCATTTCCTCGAATGTATTAGCATAAGATAGTACTTCTGAGTTTGCACCAACTTTCTGTACTGCCAAATAAGTATCAAATTCGTGTAACTCAAGTTTACTGAGTTGTGCAAAGACTGTTCAGAGTTTTGACATAAATTAGTCGTCGTGAATCTTAATTTTATTACGGATAGCAACAATATCCGGAATTGATTTATAAATCTATCACAATGCAGATTTAAACAATCCCTTCCTCGTACCCAATCGTTACACTTTGTTGTACTTCCTCGTACGCAATAAAAAAAACGGTTAGATACGTAATATGTACACTTTATACTAGCTTTTGCCTTGGACTTGGTCTGTGTGAAAAAGTCTGCTGCGTTGGTGCTTTATAATTCTATTAAAAATCTTAATTTAAGGTTGTCTAGTTTTTACTACTTCATACATTACTTTTCTTAAACTTTTTACAGGTATCTGATGTAAATGAAACAAATACTATATTGTAAAGCCGTGAGCCGTAAAACCTTAAGAAGAACTACGCAGTTTTTTAATTCACCAGTTAATTATTTTTTATTATGTATCCTTTTCCTTGTTTTAAGTCACTACTTTTACTAAATATTGAAACAAAATATTGAAATTGTCGTATCTAATAAAAAGTTTAAAAAAATCACAGCGGATCATCAAATCAAATCAAATCAAATTTACATAGTGCTTAGGTTGCATAAAATAAGGTAAATTACAATATTTAAACTGTATTCACTATACTTAAGGAAAAAATACGTAACCTCTATTAGAAGTAATTGCCCATAGTGGTTCACTCATTTGACGGACACAAAACCATTTTCTTAAAGCACATTTCACCAGAAATATTATTTTCGTAACAGCGAAATGAGGATCCTTATTACATTCAGCGGTTTGTAATAAAAAAGGAAATGAAACGAACTGAAGAGCGTGGGCTGGGACCGCGTCTTTATTGCGATTACGGGTATTAAAAAAAACCTTAATTATTCATACAACCTCTTTCTCATTTCAACTACTTGGCTATGAAAATTGAAGATTGTTCATACTTTGGTTTTCATAATATCTCTTTGAATATCTCAGTTTATTGTAATTAAATTAAATGTTTAATCAGTCTACAAATTTCCTGCAGTACAGATTAGTGTGCCACGATACAACTTGAAAAATAATTAAAATGCTAATTTTGCATATTAACTCTATTGATAACACGTTTCATTTAAATCGGTCTAGCCATTTCAACGTAAAACACTTATTTATTAACTTCACACTGTTACGTTTATAAGTAGAACTATTCGTGTTTTTTATATATGTATATAAATCATTAATTGATACATGGCGAAATGTCCATTGAAATATATACTACTATAAGCTGTGACCGCGACTTTGTCCGCGTCCCGTCGGTTTTGCAAGATAACATTAAAAGATAGACATATACAGTTGTTGCTAACATTTTTTAAGATAGTTTAAAGAAGATGATACTTATACAGTTTTTTCGGTATCTTGCGCAATGTTTATAACCTGTATAATATAAGACTTCCTCGATAAATGCTCTAACGAACACAAAAATATTTCTTCAATTCGAAGCAGTAGTACCAAACAAACTCTTCAGCTTTATATATTAGTATAGATAGAATTTTGATGTTCAAAAAAAACTATTCTAAGCGGCCGAAGTCGCTGATACAGATAGTATACTATATTATTCTTATATAAGTATATGGAAGAATCTTGATACAAGAAAACATGAAATATTCAAACCGCGCAACAGCAGCGTTTTAAACAAAGTGGCAATATTTCACCCGGAACACATTGCAAGAAGTTTCTAATAGAGATACTCGTAGCCCCATCTGGTGCATCTGGCCTATTACAATTAAATGCAGTCACGTTTCCACCATCGCTTGCATCGTACACCAAGCTGTTCACTGACCTATTTTTTAATTCGAACAGCCAAAGGATTTCAGGCTGCCTGATTGAAATCTCATCTAGAATATGTAAAGTTTGCACACTATTGATTTTTCAGGAGCGAAATTTATTTTATTCGTTTTTTCATTCGACTTAACTTAGTTGCAATATTAATATGCATCCTCTTTTCAAAATTTATCATTGATTCTTTTTTAAAGTACCAGTACATGTAACTTGTATCTATATATTATGTATTAGTGTAGCACCTC